TTCTTGGCTACATGTATACACAATTTCGAAGAATATAATTAAAGTGTAGTGTCAGAATCGAAAAAATAAGGAAAACCTATGAATTTGACCTAGATTTTGACCTAGGCATTTTGGTGTCCAAATTGTGAAGCTAGATGGCTTTTGAGGTCCCCTTCTTTTAAAGGCTTTGATTATATGAAGCTGAACTCAGTCTATATTCCGTATTTTTCACTTCAAAAAAATATTTTTTCCCATTGACTTAACATGGGCACCAAATTTAGCGATTTTTGAGTTTTCAAAACGCCATTACTTCCGAACCGGAAGTAAGATCCAAATTTCGTTTTCAGATTCGGAATCCTGAGAAAATTTCCTATAAGACTAATATCCTGGACATTTGATTCGGAGAACTTTTCTTTGGACCTCGTTTTCGGACACTGATATCTCGAAATCGGTTTGAGATATCAAAAAACTAAATCGACCCTAGGTTTCCTAGTTTTTTATAAGGAACACAATGAAAAAAAACCGGATCGAAAATATTGAAGGACGACCGAGAAAATCGAAAAAAGTGACAAAGTACTGGATTTGACCTAGTTCTTGACCTTTGACCTAGATAAAAATTTGACCCAATTTCCGAGGAACTAGATACTGGACATAAACTGACTAAATAATGATCTTTATTGGAAGCCTTATGGTTATCGAGAAAACTGGGAAAGAATAATAAAGAATAATAATAAAGAATAAGAATACTGACGAAAACAATAGACTCCAGATTGACATCTGGAGTCTAATAAAGAATAATAAAGAAAGAATAACTAGATTTGTGAAATTGAACAAGTTCAATTTAAGACTCCAGATTTATTTTACCTAGATAGATCAGTAAAGAGCTGAGTAAGTAACTGAGTAATTAGCTGAGTAAGTACCTTAGTAGTAGTTGAGTAAGTAGCTGAGTAAGTAACTGAGTAAAAAGCTGAGTAGGTAGCTGAGTAAGTAGCTGAGTAAGTACCTGAGTTAGTAGCTGAGTAAGTTGCTAAGTAAGTAATAACTAATTAAGTAATTGAGTAAGTAGTCAAATAAGTAGCTGAGTAGGTAGAGAGGTAAAGTAGGGTATGCAGGAATTTTTGAAAGTATATTTGATCAATCTGCATCGTGAATACTGGCAAGTGCGAATTTCAAACTTCAAAATGGCGTAGAATCTAAACCTGGGGTCGGATTGCAATTTTTGCTACAAGTATACAAAATTTCGGAGAATATCATTGAAGTGTAGTGTCAGAATCGCAAAATAAGAAAAAACTATGAATTTGACCTAGATTTTTTAAACTAGGTATTTTGGTGTCCAAACTTTGAAGGAAAGTAGCTTTTGAGGTCCCCTTCTTCTATGGGCTTTCATTATGTTTAGCTGTACTCATTCTATATCTCGTATTTTTACACTTCAAAAAATTATTCGGTCCCATTGATTTAACATGGGGCACCAAATTTAGCGATTTTTAAGATCTCAAAACGCCATAACTTCAGAACAAGTAGTCGGATCGAAATTTGGTTTGCAGATCTAGATTTCTGAGAAAATTCTACCCTTAATTCATAACTCATACGTTAATTTTGGAAAACTTTTTACTTTGGCCTACTTTTTGGACACCATATCTCAAAAGTGGGTCAAAATACTTTCTGACGGCAAAACGCTAACACTATAGCATACTCTTTGCTACCTGTATACAAAATTTTAAAGCAAATCATTTAAATATAGTGTCAGAATCGCAAAAATAAGGGAAAACTATAAATTTGACCTAGATTTTGACCTAGGCATTTTGGTGTCCAAATTTTGGAGCTAAGTAGCCTTCGAGGTCCCCTTCTTTAATAGGCTTTCATTAAATTAAGCTGTACTCAGTCTATATCTTGTATTTTACACTTCAAAAAAATCTTTTTTCCCATTGCCATAACATGGGGCACCAAATTTAGCGATTTTTGAGCTATCAAAATGACATAAATTCCAAACCAAAAGCCGGATTGAAATTTGGTTTGCAGATTTGGATTCCTGAGAAAATTCTACCCTTAATTCATAACTCATACGTTAAATTTGGAGAACTTTTTAGTTTGACCTACTTTCCGGACACCATATCTCAAAAGTGGGTCAAAATACTTCCTGACGGCAAAAGGCTAACACTATTAGCACACTCTTGGCTACATGTACACAAATTTTCGAAGAATATAATTAATCTGTAGTGTCAGAATCGCAAAAATAAGGAAAAACTTTGAATTTGACCTAGATTTTGACCTAGGCATTTTGGTGTCCAAATTTTTATGAAAAGAAGGTCTTGTGGTCCCTTTCTTTTATGGGCTTCCATTATGTTTAGCTGTGCTTAGTCTATATCTCGTATTTTACACTTCAAAAAAATATTTTTTCCCATTGAATTAACATGGGGCACCAAATTTAGCGATTTTTGAATTTTCAAAACGCCATAACTTCTGAACCGGAAGTCAGATCGAAATTTGGTTTTCAGATTCGGAATCCTGAGAAAATTTCCCATAAGACTAATATCCTGGACATTGGATTCGGTGAAATTTTTTTTGGACCTCGTTTTCGGACACTGATATCTCGAAATCGGTTTGAGATACCAAAAAACTAAATCGACCCTAGGTTTTCTACTTTTTTATGAGGAACACAATGAAAAAAACCAGGATAAAAAATATTGAAGGACGACCGAGATAATGGGAAAAAGTGACAAAGTACTGGATTTGACCTAGTTCTTGACCTTTGACCTAGATAAAAATTTGACCTAATTTCCCAGAAAGCCAGATACATTCCCTAGTTAATCATGTAAGCAGCTTAAAGTAAGCTCTTCTAGTTGGTGAGAAATCTGGGAAGGAGGAAGAAGAAGAATAATAATAATAATAAAGAAAACTGGCAAAAGCAATAGACTCCAGATTTTCATCTGGAGTCTAATAAGAATACTGACGAAAACAATAGACTCCAGATATACATCTGGAGTCTAATAAGAATACTGACGAAAACAATAGACTCCAGATTTACATCTGGAGTCTAATAAGAAGAAGAAGAATAAGAAAACTGACGAGAACAATAGACTCCAGATTTTCAATCTGGAGTCTAATAAGAAGAAGAAGAAGAAGAAGAAGAATAAGAAAACTGACGAGAACAATAGACTCCAGATTTTCAATCTAAAGTCTAATAAGAATAACTAGACTTTGGAAATTGAACGAAGTTCAATTTCAGACTCCAGATCTAGACTTTTTTAAGCCCAGTCATCTAAAATAAGCCGAGTCATCCAGAATAAGCTGAGTCATTCAGAATAAGATGGATGGATAAAATAGGAAGGTAGGATAGGATATAATGGGAAGGAACGATAGGATAGAATAAAAAAGAAGGATAGGATAGAACAGAATAGGAAGAAAGGATATGATAGGAGAGGATAGGATAGGAAGGAAAGGATACGAAGGAAGGATAGATAGGAAGGATAGATAGGAAGGATAGGATCAGATAGGAAGGATGGATGGATGGATGAATTTTTTAATTTTTTTTTCTCTACTCTTGACTTTCTATCAGGATACCATCAGATCGATTTTCAGAAATTTCAAAACGCCATAACTTCCGAACCTGAAGTCAGATCAAAATTTGATTTAAAGATTCGGATTCCTGACAACATTCTACCCCTTATTCATAACTCATACGTTAAATTTGACGAATTTATATTTTGACCTACTTTTTGGACACACCATAACTTCGGAACCGGAAGTCGGATCGAAATTTGGTTTGCAGATTCAGATTCCTGAGAAAATTCTATTCTTAATTCATAACTCAAACGTTAAATTTGGAGAACTTTCATTTTGACCTACTTTTTGGACACCATATCTCAAAAGTGGGTCAAAATACTTTCTGACGGCAAAAGGCTAACGCTATTAGCACACTCTTGGCTACATGTATACACAATTTCGAAGAATATAATTAAAGTGTAGTGTCAGAATCGCAAAAATAAGAAAAAACTTTGAATTTTACCTAGATTTTGACCTAGGCATTTTGGTGTCCAAATTTTGAAGCTATGTGGCTTTTGATGTCCCCTTCTTTTAAAGGCTTTGATTATATGAAGCTGAACTCAGTCTACATTTCGTATTCTTCACTTCAAAAAAATCTTTTTTCCCATTGACTTAACATGGGCACCAAATTTAGCGATTTTTGAGCTTTCAAAATGCCACGTGCAATTTTTTGGGATATTTCGGCCGCTTTTGACCGTGTCCCCCATTACCTTCTTCTAAAAAAGTTGAAAGCATATGGATTTTCAGGAAACTTATTAGTTTTTCTAAAATCTTATTTGACTGATAGGAGTGTCAAAGTAACTGTGAATGGCAAATGTTCTGACACCTCTCCTAGCAACTACATAAACTGTTCTGTGCCTCAGGGAAGTATTCTCGGACCTTTGATGTTTCTCCTCTATATAAACGACTTACCTGACAACCTGACCTCAGAGTGTTTTATTTATGCAGACGACACCTCCCTCTTTGTACCTACATCTCAAAACAATCCGCAATCTCATATACAAATTCAAAATGATCTAAAAAAAATCGAAGCCTGGTCTAAACAGTGGAAACTAGATTTTAAACCAGAAAAGAGCAGAGAAATGACCTTTTCTAAGAAAAATAATCCAATCTATCCACCAGTTATCTTAAATGATAAACAAATTGAAAAAACTGACATTCATAAACATAAACATTCTATCTGTGCAAAAATCCAAACAGCTCTTAACCCCTTAAAAGCACTTAAGGGTAGACTAAAATCAAAACAATTAAATATTCTCCACACAGCTTATATTCAGTCCTAATTTGATTATTGTGATATCCTTTACGACTGTGCCCCTATTTGTGACCTTAACAGACTCGACAGTCTCCAGTACCAAGCTGGTCTAATAGTCTCTGGTGCTCTCCCAGGCTCCAGCACTTCCAAAGTACTTTACATTTTGAACTGGTCCACCTTAACTGAGAGGAGGATCCTCCACTTTAAAACAATTATGTACAAAGCCGTGAATGATTTAACACCTATTTATATCTCAGATATATTTAGGCCATTCATAAACCCTCAAGCAAGATTGTTAAGGAAATCCCGAGATTTCACTATCCCTATTCACTATCCACATAAGTCTCCAATATACAAAATGATGAACCTATGGAATGATCCAGGATCTGTTCCCTTGGAACAAAAGCTCTTGCCAACTATTGCATCTTTTAAAAGAGCACTCAAATTAAATTTGTTCCCTGGTGTTGTTTCAACTATTTGTTTAAAATTAACTCGTCAACAAGAACTTTATCTGAATAGAGCCAGGGTAGATTTAATTTTAAAAGCTCAGCTCAAACCCCATAATTGGAGCTCAGTTGAGTCATCAAATTGTTTATGTGGTTCCCCTGAAACTTTTCCCCACTTCTTTTTCAAATGCCCTCTGAAAGAACAACAAAGAAATAAACTAATAACTGACACTTTAGGGATATATGGGGACTTATTAACTCATTACAGAACTCAACAAGACAAAATTCACTTTTTTCTTTTTGGGGATCCATCATTAACCCAATTAGAAATGGATAATCTTTTTTCACTGGTTGCGAATTATCTCATTGAAAACACAACCAGAATCTAAATATTCTCCTGCCTATGACCTGTTTCCATTTTTCAACATACTACCCCCCCAGGATATCAGCAGCCCTCCTATCTTTTGTTTCATTGCAAGGCATTCTACCATTTACAGGTGACATCCAGGTTAAGATGAATATTGTACCTTATTGTTTATTTATATAAGGGGACATCTAATGCTTACAGCGCTTTGCCCCTTGTAATTGTATCTAAATGACTTGTGCTTACAATAAATATGAAAGATGATAAAAAAAACACAACATAATACAGTTTATTTAGGTTCAGTATCTAGTTGGTGGGAAATTGGGTCAAATTTTTATCTAGGTCAAAGGTCAGGAACTGGGTCAAATCCAGTACTTTGTCACTTTTTTCAATTTTCTCAGTCGTCCTTCAATATTTTCGATCTGGGTTTTTTTCATTGTGTTCCTTATAAAAAAGTAGAAAACCTAGGGTCGATTTAGTTTTTTGATATCTCAAACCGATTTCGAGATATCAGTTTCCGAAAACGAGGTCCAAAAAAAGATCTCCGAATCAAATGTCCAGGATATTAGTCTCATATGAAATTGTCTCAGGATTCTGAATCTGAAAACGAAATTTAGATCAGACTTCCGGTTCTGAAGTTATGGCGTTTTGAAAACTCAAAAATCGCTAAATTTTGAGCCCATGTTAAGTCAATGGGAAAAAAGATTTTTTTGAAGTGAAAAATACGAAATATAGACTAAGTTCAGCTAAATATAATGAAAGCTTTTAAAAGAATGAGACCTCAAAAGCCATCTAGCTTTAAAATTTGGACACCAAAATGCCTAGGTCAAAATCTAGGTCAAATTCAAAGTTTTTTCTTATTTTTGCGATCCTGACACTACACTTTAATTATATTCTTCGAAATTGTGTATACATGTAGCCAAGAGTGTGTTAATAGCGTTAGCCTTTTGCCGTCGGAAAGAATTTTGACCCACTTTTGAGATATGGTGTCCGAAAAGTAGGTCAAAATAAAAAGTTCTCCAAATTTAACATTTGAGTTATGAATTAAGAATAGAATTTTCTCAGAAATCCGAATCTGCAAACCAAATTTCGATCCGACTTCCGGTTCCGAAGTTATGGCGTGTCCAAAAAGTAGGTCAAAATAAAAATTCGCCAAATTTAATGTATGAGTTATGAATTAGGGGTAGAATTTTGTCAGGAATCTGAATCTTTAAATCAAATTTAGATCCGACTTCCGGTTCGGAAGTTATGGCGTTTTGAAATTTCGGAAAATCGATCTGATGGTATCCTGATAGAAAGTCAAGAGTAGAGAAGAAAATATTGAAAAATTCATCCATCCTTCCTATCTGATCCTATCCTATCCTATCCTTCCTTCGTATCCTTTCCTTCCTATCCTCTCCTATCATATCCTTTCTTCCTATTCTGTTCTATCCTATCCTTCTTTCTTATTCTATCCTATCGTTCCTTCCCATTCTATCCTATCCTACCTTCCTGTTTTATCCATCTATCTTATTCTGGATGACTCGGCTTATTCTGGATGACTCGGCTTATTTTAGATGACTGGGCTTAAAAAAGTCTGGATCTGGAGTCTGAAATTGAACTTCGTTCAATTTCCCAAGTCTAGTTATTTCTCTTTTTTTATTTATCTTAATGGATAGATGATTGAGTTTTGATATAAGTAGGTTCGATTAATAAAAACACAATAAAGACACTTGGCAAATTGTTGTGAATATCAGACTTGGCATTGATCTTGATAATTTAATTAATTGATTGTCTTGGAAGGTCCATTATACTGTATGGCTGAACAGTATGCTATAAACTGGTGTCTTTGTATCATTGATTTAAATACACAGTAGTGTCTATGTATTTTCAGAGCAGTGTCTCCAGAGCAGTGTTTTTGTGTGCAGTGACAGATTTCTCACAAAAGAGAAATCATGTGATAGCTGAATTTATATAGATATTGAGGCACTTGTAGAAGAAAGGAGTTTGAATGGGGAAAGCAGAATTCGGTATCGTACGGGAATTCTCTACCGGAAGACAGGCCATATCTAACTACAAAAACACAGTTTTCAAGATCGAGCAATATGCATTCATTAATTTGGAGCATAAGTTCGCACCATTTTAAAGATAGAAATATAATGTTACATCATGTTACAATGCAATGTAAATATATTTGTTTAGTAGTATACAGGTTTGGCCAAAACATAATAATCCTATTTATATCCTTCAAAATGTTTCATCATATTTTTTTAGTATTGATTCATCATATCCTTGTTTTTGAAAATGATTTTCGTTTCCTGATGTATACAGTTTAGTTTATCTATTTGAAGTTATTTATTATAGAGGTCGTTCCATTGGCCTACTCTGTACATACACATCTAAAGAAATTTAAAATAAATTATAAAAAAACGTAAAAGCTGTTTGTGAGCAATTTTTTTCTAACTTGTGTTAACGTGTATATTCAGTTTTAACTCCCGTTTATGCCTGGGTCGATGCCCAATTCACAAAACAGCGTCTACCAGTCCTCCTAAATAAGCAAAAATATGCATATCTTGTGCTGCATATGATCATAAAGGAATGTCAAATATACCGATCTTGACTCCATATATGCTAATGTAGTTAGTTTATATTCTAGTGCATGTCTTAATATAATCACATGCTGCATATCACTTATCTCAAAATATGCAGGAATACTTATGAAAAATGGCATATACAGGGTGTTCAAAAAAAAACGCAACCCAAATAAATCGCGATATCTTGGAAAATACTGATCCAATTATGTTCATATTTTCAGGAAAGAAAGAAGAGACTGTGTATGTATAGCCCCTGTTGTTAGTTAGTTGTACAACTTGATGTCTTGGACATTTGCTCAAAAGACAGTTGTACTAGCAAAATACGAAAAACACGAATGGAAAATAACTATATATTGGAAAATACCAATTCAATTATGTTTATTTTTTCAAGAAAAGGAAGAAGAGACTGTGTATGTACAGCTCCTGTTGTCAGTAAGTTGAAAAACATGATGCCTTGGACACCTGCTCAAATGACAGTTGTACTAGGAAAATATGAAAACGCAGTCAGAGGTGACTGCCACAGCAATAAAACCAAATAACTTTCTAACCATGGTGTTTTGGCACTTCAGATTTGGCACAAATTATCCTCATTCAATATGTGGTGAATTTGTGGAGTTTCATTAAAATCACTCCAGGAACTTTATAGTCATGGTCAAAATGCCTTCTTAACTCTCCCTGAACCAGGGCGTTTGACTGTGATTTGAAAGCATTTCAACCATGACAGTGAAGTCCCTGAAGTGATTTTGATTTCACTCTACAGATTTATCATACAGTGAATGAAGATGATTTGTGCCAAATTTGAAGAGCCAAAACACTATGGTTAGGTAGTTATTTAATTTTTTTGCGGTTGCAGTCACCCCTGGCTGCGTTTTTCGCATTTTGCTAGTACAACTGTCTTTTGAGCAGGTGTCCAAGGCATCATGTTTTACAATTAACCATTGACAGGAGCTATACATACACAGTCTCTTCTTTATTTCCTGAAAATATGAACATAATTGAACCAGTATTTTTCAAGATATAGCAATCTTTTTGGGTTGCGTTTTTTTTTTGAACACCCTGTATGTAGATCATATGCAAATATAACCAGTGTCAATTTCTATATATATCTAGTATACTAAACTGCTTATATTTGTCTATCCCAAATAAGCAGGTATATGCAGTTTCTGCGCTGCATATAATCACAAGTAAACAGCAAATATGCAAAGTATGTCTGAATATAAGCAAATATACTCAGTGACAGTACCCGTATATTCAGTCAGTATTCTCTGTGAAAGTTTGTTATATGCAGCTGCATATATTTGTGTTCCATATATGCGTTCTGTCAGTGATGATTACTGTTTATAACATGCAATTTGAATCAAATAAACACCAGAATTAGTCGTTATTTACAAGCAATATTCGTTTTTTATACAGTGAAAGTTACTTAATGATAATATGAACACATACTTAATATATATTTTTCATTTTAGGAAATCTTGCACAACAAACGGTGACTTCCCCTGATGAAGCTGTATTAATTACACGGACAATTGATGCAACTTTTTTTTATATAGTTAATAATCATTATTTAAATAAATTTTACAATATTGTAATTTTTTATATTTAAAAATGTTAATCTCGTGTGTTTCTTTCATTTTATAAATGTTCTGAGGCCTTATTCAAAATGCATCGCATTTGCCATTGCTACGCAATTGCTACATTGCAATATTGGCGCCAATTCAAAATGACGTGATACCGAAATCGCTTAGCAATCGCAATCACAATCGGATCACACTATGTTAGCAGCAAAAATAAAACGAAAAAATAACAAAATTGAACTCACTAGTATACGTTAGATAAATTACTATAAAGGTATGATTGTGATGTAAAAACAAAAATAAAATACTAGTATGGTATTACAAAACCTGGATTTATAAGGTTTACTCTTCATGTATTCTATTGATTTGACGGGAAGTTATGTCTAAGCTTGTATTCGCGAACGCATCAACACTTTAGCACAACAAACCGTTTCTAGGTGAAGAAATGATTGGAGCAAAACAATGCATCGATTAGAAAAATATTTTCTCAATCTGCATTGGTATCATCACTGATACGTAGACGTATATAGAAATCGTCGTGGATCAAGTATCTGAATTGATGTTCAAAGAATTAGGTCTTTGCCGGAAGAATGTAAGAACC